TATCACTTTATTACTTGATATACGACACATGCACTTGCGTTAATTTCGTAGCATCTGTTGCCTAGAACTAACTTGTGGAATGAACCTTTGATTCGCAAGGTCTTTAGTGATGTTGATGTTAATCAGGTACTGATGGTTCATATTTCCCCTTATAATAAGGATGTGAATGTTTTGGGTAACCATGATTCTGGCATGTATTCTATGCGATATTGTTACTGGTGGTTGCAATAGAGTGCCCATGATACTAAAGGTCGGTCTAAGATTTGATCGGTCATTGCAAAGATTCAGTTGCTTCCAAAAATCTGTAATTTTGCATGGCGTGTGGCTTGTAACGCCTTACCTTTGGGTAGTAGCTCAAAGTTACCAGGTTAACTAATTCAATTTGCCCGATGTGTTCTGCTAATAAAGAAACAACGTTGGATGCAGTTCATTGTTGTTCTTGAACTCAAGAGATCCTTCATCTGGCTGATATTCCTATTGGTGTTGCTCTTAGTAATGTAGTTGATCCTTTGGTTTGGTTGGAGGACTCGTTATCTTTTTTGGGATGTGATGATTTTGCTATTTTATTATTTATTTTATGGAATATCTGGAATAACATAAATTCATTTATTCATAATAACAGGTTGTAAGTGCCTTGGATTTTGGTTATGAATACAAGAATTCTTCACCAAGAGTACTTAGAGTTCGACGCAAAGGAGAAAGATGTAGAGTGGTCATTGGAGGACCATTAGAGGTGTGATTCCAAAGGTGGATAATGGTAGATGGCGGTCATTGGTTGCGAGAGCGATTAAAGTCAATACGGATGGGGCCTTTGACGATGTCCGTCGTATTGATGTTTTTCATAACCATTTTTTACGAAATAAAAATTAAAAGTATAAAAAATTAAGTCTAAAAATAGTTATGACTTTATTTTGGAAAAATTGAGATAAATTTGATTTAATTCGAATTGGATTTCGGTTTATTTTGAAATTTGTAGTCGCCGCCGACCTTCTGATTAGGTAGGTCGAATACCTAAAAACGTATTTTAAAACAATTTTAAGAAAATTCATTTTTAAGACATAAATTGATCTGCGTATTACCAGAAATTTGTTTTTAAGGATTCGTCAATCGATTACACGTGAGGAAGGGTAAGCAGCCCTACAACACTCAAAATTAGTACCTTTGATTATACGTTATCTGAAATGGTAGAATTTTGTAAAATTCGAATCTAAAATTTAAATTACGATCCTTTTATTTCGATGAATTTTAAAATGAGTTAATTTCTTTATAAAATACTTGACTCGATAAAGATGATATAATTCACTTGGTTTTATTTAAGAAGGATGTCCTCTTACTACGTGAATTAACAAAAATTGAAATCCAGTTATGTTGGACGTAATTTCGTTAAACCATGACGCAAGTCAACATTGCCTTTGATAATTTTTAAAACGAGAAAATGAATGCATGACGTATGAATGCAGCAGTAATAAATGACATGGATATGATCGATGAAATGTCAAATATAATATGTCAAATAAAATACATAATAACAATAAAATATTATCTTCATTCGAATAACCCTCGGAAGGGCACTCTAGTTTTTTGGAGGTCATCTATAGGTTAGTAAAACAACCACAATTTTATAAATTCGAAAATATTAAAACGACATTTTAATAAAAGTAAAATATGTATGTAATAAAGTAAAATTAAAAAAAGGGTCGGCCTTAATAAAAAAAAATACGTACATAAACGTATATAATGAAATTTAGGCATAATACAATATATGTATTTAATGTACATAAAAAGTCAAACAAAGATTTAAATATATAAAAGGTATGCAAAACATTTAATACACGTTGACACTAATTAATATTCATAAAAGGTGCGCAAAAAATGAAAGAATATATATACATAAATACCATATATACAATATGATTTAATATATTCCATAAAATATTAAAAATACTAATAAATACACCTACATTTATGCATATTTATATTTGTAGCAAATAAAATGTGCAAGGAAAAATATGCATTTATGCGTGATCAAGGGTGACCAAACAAATCAGCTGAATAATATTTAGGCCAAACAAATAATTAATCAGGGACTGAAATGCAAGATTTAAATATTGTCAGTCTCAAATCTAAACATGAAAAAGTGAACACTTAAACTAAAGTTTGAGGCCAAAAGAAACACGAGATTAGACTTCATAACTCAAGTGAAAACCAACACAAATAAAGGACTAAATCACGAATAAACCCAAACATGTTAACAATTAATCAGTGACGTAAATAAAAAAAATTAAAATCCAGAAGCATAAAGTGTAAACTTTTATTTAAGGACCAAACGAAACTTTACAAAACGCAGATGGCCAACAAAGGGGTTGTTTCATGAGCAAGGGTTCAGAAACCTTACCCCCAAAATGACGTAAATTCATCAGCCATATATAAGTGGAACTCAAGGCTAAAATTTAGCCTTATATTTCATTAGTACTTTTCACCCTTTTTACCCAAAATACAAACTCTCAAACCCTCTCTCTCCTTTCTCTCATTCGGGTGCAATGATCGATTAGCTATCGTTCAGTGACGTCGACAGCCACCGTGACCACTGGAGACGGTGGCCGAAAAAATAAAAAGAACTAAAAATATCCTTTTTCTCTCTGGAACCCAAATCCCAAGTTACTTTTACCTTAAACCAACTCTAAAAGCCTAGATCTAACAAATAAATCCGAAGAGTCTACCTTCCTCCATCGCAAAATCCACTGTCCGATGAAGTTTTCACCGAGATATGTTGCTTCCCACTCACCAATGAAGACTTTGACCAAAGGGTTTTAGATATAAGGCTTTGAATCAAGGTTTAATTCTTTTTTAGTCTCATTTTTTTCTCTTTTTTTTAACTGTTTGAATGGCTTTCCCCGATTTTTTTTTTAGTTCTCTCTTTTGTCCTCCTTTTCCGAACCCCCTTCTATTGTTGCTTGATGTTGCTTTTATGGTGACTTGTTTAAGCTACCAGGAAGCTCGTCATAGGGAAATGATTTTCCTATACTGCATTAAAAATCCAAATCTTCTTTGAATTTTAATCTGATTTTTAATGGTTTGTTGAATTGATTTATCTGTTTGATTGATTTCATGTCAGTTTTTGGTTGAAATGACGGCAATGGGACAGGCTCTGATAGCGACGGAGGGTAGCTGGGAACCTTGCTGGTGGCGCGAGTGTGGCTCGACTTGGACAGCGGTGACTATGGGAGGAGAACATCACACCTAGGGTTTCTAACAAACCCTAAAAGATTGGGTTGGTTTCATTCAAGCCTTGTTCTATAGGAAGGTTTGTTGTTGGGCCCTTTAATGGGTCAGGTCCTGTAATGTTGGGTCTGCTATTTGGGTTAGTGGCCCATTGTATCTTGTTTTTAACCTGTAAATAATAAATACAAAATAAAAAAATAATTATAACCAGGACAAAAACTGGCGTCTACAATGTTGTTGGTGTTATAGCTCATGATTGGAAAGGACATGTTATTGGCGATCTTGCTCAAACATCGATTGGTTGCTTTGAAGCTGGATTTGCAAAATTTCATGCGCTTCTTGCTGGTTTACATCTTGCATGTGATAATGGGTGGGAGGTTGTTCAATTTGAGATTGATTCGTTGATGCTTGTGCACAAGATCACTCACAAAGGACATTTCTACGCTTGGTATTTTTGCCAGGGAAGCTCGTGCTATTTTTCAATCTAAGCCTAGATTTCATATTACCTTTTCTCCTCATTCTTGTAATATTGTTGATCACAAGTTAGGTAGTTGGGCAATTAGAACTAGTGGTACTTTATTTTTTTTGACTAGGTTTGTCTCAAGATAATTTACAGTGACATTATGTTTGATGTATTGATTCTTGATTTATGATAGTTGGACACTCTTTTCCCCTTGTTAGGTTTAGAGAAGGAATTTTTAATGAGACCCTTATTGGTTTTGTTCAAAAAATTGTTAAATAACGATAAAAATACACTCACATAACAATTTTATAATACATATTTTTATTTAATTATATAATATCGACTATTGAAAGTTATAAGGATCAATTATAGTAGTTACTTTGTTGAGTTCATTGACTATTAAAAGTTAATGGTCACTAGACTATTCATTACGTTCTAAACTCTTATTTTCCGTTAAAAATTTAACGCAATCTAAGTTGTACATTAACCTACAAACTAAGATATGATAAAATCTGATCTCATAATCTCAAACGATTATATATCTCAAGCACGTCCAACTCATATGACATTTAATTTTTTAGCGGAAAATGATGAGTTTGGAACATAACGAATGAAGGGACTCAAAAAAACAACTTTCTATAATCAATAGATCATTTTGTAACTTTTAATAGTCAAAGAACTTAATAAAATAATATTTTATAATCGGTATCATATAATATTACGAGGTAATTTTTGTTAATACAATGGGAAGAGAAAGGCCAAACTAGAGAACATTAGCCGAGTATTGGTCTTCTGCAATCACTGTTTTCACCACTGGTGGAGGTCGAGAATAGTGAACTAAGCCCATCGGATGCTCCCATGATAATCTCGCCATGCCATCTGCTGCTATGTACCCCTCATATTTGCTATCGTGAAACAAGAAAAGGCTCTGATCTGAGAAATTGAAAGGATATATTCACATTTGCTATCGGACGTTGTCATTGGGATCACGTAGTTGTTCTTGTTTCTGGTCGGAGCGTTGCTCCCTACGATTTAAAGTTCGTTATTTCGTAAAATTTGTTTTAAGTTGATAATAATATTATTTTTGATTGCTGCTGAATTCCTTGTTTAGGTAATGTATCAGGCTAATGTTTTTTGTCGGAAGTAGTAATTCGTTGATATTGATTTATTAAGCGATTTAGTTTCTGCTTCGTTTCTGAAAGAATTGAGAGAAACGGAAGGAAAAGTTGCTTGAAATGATTCGTTTTTAGTTCTTTCATTAGGAAAAGTGTTGATGACTAAATCGGTCGTTCCTATTTAGAAATTTTGATTGCTTGAGTAGGGATTTAAATTTAGGCCCGAGTTCTTTGAACTGTTGTCTGTATCTACTGGATTAGTTGCTTCTTTTTTCTAGAGGTTTGTTTCCCCTTTTTTTTCCTTGCTTGGATGGCTTTTGTGTCTATAACGTTGATTCGATTTAGAGCCTTCAGCATAAGCATTTGATGTCTATCACATTTGTACCGAAGTATTCTAGCTTAGGGATTGTTTATTACGAGGTAACTTTGGTTAAAATTTAAAACTCTTTTGTTGTGGTCATAAAAAAACACTCAAAATATGTATAAATGAAATTTTTAAAAATAAAAAACTCAAAATTCAATCATTTAAATTAGGTTTATATAACAAATAAAATACCCAAAGTATACCCTCTTTTTCTTTTAAGTATCTAAAGTATTTTTTGGTCAAAACAAGTACCCAAAGTTATTTTTTTCGTCAAAATAGGTACTTAAAATTTTTTTTGTCAAGATAAGTACCTAAAGTATTAGTTTTTTTCATCTAGGTACCTAAAGTATTCTTTAATCAATGTCACATGTCAACTTTTTCAGAACTTAGATGAAAAGTTTGAAGAGTTTAGGTACCTATTTTGACATAAAATATTTTAGGTACCTATTTTGACCAAAAAGATAACTTTGGGTACTAATTTTGACCAAAAATACTTTAGGTACTTAAAAGAAAAAAGAGTATACTTTAGGTACTTATTTATAATATAAGCCTTTAAATTATAGTGAAAATCATGATGAAAATATAGTGTAACATGGATGTAAAAAAAACTTTTAATAAAACATTTATAATATTAAAAAATTAATAATAAGATAAGATAAAATGTTATTTTAATTTAAATGTAATAATCTGATAAATAAAAGATAGTTTTTTCTTAGTTGAAACTTTTTTCAATTTTATATAAGAAATATTACAAGTAATTACAAACTAATCAAGGCATAATTCTTATATAAGTGCCTAAACTATATCACTTTTTTTTCTAAACATGTGCTCAAACTTTTTTTTTTGAATCATCTAGGTGCCTAATGTTACAAATGTTACCACTTTAAGTGCTCGGACCTCAACTGATGTTAAATATTGTTGCTAAAAGACACGTGTCATATTCTGGTAATTTTAAAAATTTTATTTAAAATTTAAAAATTAAAAGTATACTTAAAAACACATAAAATTTTTGAAATACTTTAAAAATCCTCCAAAACTTTGAAAACTCTCATTTTAATCCCTAAACCCACACTGACCGCCACCATTTGCCATCGACACAGCTCCACATGAACAATCTATGTAACAAATCGTAACCCAATCCAATCCCGACGGCCAATCGGTGACAAGTATGATGGCATATGACTAGGTAGATGACATTGACTACGTTGGCGGTGGTGGTCGCGATCCACAAGGATGACATCGACGATTAGAGATTTAAGATTGTTAGGGATTTGGGTTTTTTTTATAATTAAAGAGAAATTAGAGTTTTTATAAATATTATAATATTTTTATTTTTTCTATAAAAATAAATTTTTAAAATTACCAAAACATGACACGTGTCACTTACTAGCTAAATTTAACGACAGTTATGGCCCGAGAACTTAAAGTGTTAACGTTTGTAACGTTAGACACATGGATGATTCAAAAAAGAGTTTAGGCTATTTTGAAAAAACTATATAGTTTGAGCACTTATTTTATAATTAAGCCAATAATCTTTTTTTATTATTAATATAGGGTAAGTACAATGCAATATTTGTTCAAAAATGACTCTCAACTATTTGACATTGAACGCTCACGCATCTGACATTTCTAGTGCTCAAACTCGAGATTAGGGGTGAGTGTTTGATCGATTCAAGTAAAAAAAATTCGAGTTATTTGAGTTGACGATTCTTATTTTACAATTAGAACTTAACTAGAAATTTTTTCGAGTCAAGTATTCGAGTTTATATATATTATATTCTTTTTACATTATAACATTATTTAATATATAAAATATAATATAAAAATATAAAATATATTCATAATATTATATTTCAAAGAAAGCATTTTGAGAGTAAAATATAAATGAAAGTATAAATGAGTCAAGGAATTGATGAGAAGAAATAATTTGCAAACAATTGCAGTTAAAGAACCAAATTGAGTAAAATGCAAAGTTAAGGGACTAAATAAAAATAGAGTATATTTTTAGTGAAAAAGTAAGAATTGAAGTTACATAGGTATTATATTGTGTTATATGAGCATGTTGTTTAAATGTGGTTAAAAAATGACTTAAAATAAAGTATGAATTGAAGAAATTATGAAATTATGTAAAATTGAGTGACTAAATTGAAAAATAAAAACAATTATCGAAAAAGAGGAGTTGAAAGTGCATATATATTATATGATAGTTAGGAGTATGTGGTTCAAATTTGGTAAAAAAATAGACCTAAAACAAAGGGGAAACTAAATGAATAATGAAATCAAGGAATTAATCGTAAAACTATCAAAATATGTAGTTAATTTTTTTATTTGTTGAGTAACTCGAAATTTCAAATTTTCAACTCGACTCAACTCGAAAACTGAATCGATAATTCGAGTCGACTCGAATAACTCGAAATTAAAAAAATGATTTTTCGAGTCGAGTCTAATTTTGCTCACCCTACTTAGGACCTCAAAGAATAACAACAATTTCTTTACCACTAAGATCACTTAATTCGTGCGTTAAAAAAATAATCAAATGTATAAGATTGGGATGATAATAATAAATGGGTAAATTACACCGTTCCTCACTGTACTATACTCTCTCATATTTTCCTCACCTAACTTTCAATTTTTCTATTTTACTCACTAAACTTTACAGATTGAATCATTTTGCTCACTCAGTCGTTAACTTTTTAACGGTGTTATGATGTGGCACAAAAATTAAAATGACACCGTTTTGAAAAACTCAAATATACTCTAAAACGACGTCGTTTTGGTTAGTTTGGACTGAAACGTTTCAGTTTCCTCACTTTCAATCTCAAATTTGTGGACTTTGGAGCAACTTCCGACAAAATGGAAGTCGTATTCGAACTCACGACGTTGAGACGAAGTGACCTATCCCATTTTGGGACCAAAAGGCCACCATATACGGCGGTCGACGGTGATATCCGACCACCTTTTATTTTTATTTTATTTTTTAATTATTTATATTAAATAAAAAAACCATATCATCAGTCGTTAGAGAGAAAATGGAGGAGTGAACAAATGATTCAATTTGTAAAGTTTGGTGAGCAAAATAAAAAAATTAAAAGTTTGATAAGAAAAATAGGAGAGAAGGTATAGTATAGTGAGAAACAGTATAGTTTACCCATAATATATCCACTAACGTGTGTGTATATTTCAACCCACCGCTGTAATCGCGTGTACAGTACGATTAAAATACAAAATGCCTCCTACACTCCAAACCCTACGCGGCCTCGTCACATTGGTAGCACGAAAATTAAAAAACGAAATTACATAGTCCAAAAAAAATAAGTAGGGATAAAGTACACTAAATGTTCCTAAACTATTCTCAAATGATTTTTTAGTCACTCAATTTTTATTTTATAATTATAAATTTATTAAATTATTATAAAATGATTATTGCGATATTTTTATAACCACAAAGTTTGATAATTCTAATGAAAATTATGTAATAATTTGATATTTTTATCATTATTGTAACCATTTGATAAAAATAATGATCATTTTGTAATGTCACAATGATCATTTTGAAATAGTTTTGTAAATTAAATGATTATTTTATAAATTTCAAATTTTTAATAGTTAAAAAAACATTTGAACATAACTTAAACTTTTAATATAGTTTATTAAAAAATTATAACACGATTTAAAAATTTCAAAAGAATTAGGATGAAGTACACCATAGTCTCTAAATTATGTTAAAAATGATATTTTATAATTAAATTGTTTTAAAATTATAAAATAACTTTTGAAAGTTAAGTGACTGAAAATATCATTTAAGTATAGTTTGAAAACCTCTTACGTATTTTATCCAAAATAAAAAAAGGGAATTTTTATTTAATTTTAAGGGTAAAGTACTCATATAGCCACTAAACTATATTGTTGCTTTTATTTTTATCAACAAACTATTTATTTTTCAATTAGACAATTCCACTGTTAAGTTGCTACCAACCAAGTCATTACCTGTTAATATTTGATGAAAATAATGATATACTAGTTAAGTAAACTTATACAATTATATTTTTAGTTATCATTAATTACATATTCTATCAGTTTAGTTGAACTTTAATATAAGTAAATTAAACAAATTTATTTAAGTGTCACATCATTATTTTCGTTAAATGCTAATCGTTAATATTTTTTTGATTAAAAAAGATAACCCATGAAGAAGGTTATGTAGTTCCAGAAGAGATGACAACACGATCTGCCTGGTTCAGTTCATAAATCGCTGCAGTAGGAGCATTGAAAGAGTGAAAGCCAAATGGAAAAGACCAAGCTGCTCTAGCCATTCCATCAGCAACCTTGTTGCAATCTCGAGGGGTAAAAGCCAAAACATCACTCCAGGAACACGCAAGTAACTCACAACCATGGGTGAGTTAAATCCGGAACATTGAAGAAGATCAATTACCGAAATCTGCTTGCTGTCCGATTCGACCACTAACGTTCGAATACCCAACTCCCAAGCCATCTTCAACCCCTCAAATATACCCCACAAACTCAGCATCCAATGTCGAACAAACACCAATTTCTTTGGAGAAACCGGCCACCCAACTACCAGCTGAGTCCCTAATTACACCACCTCACGTGCTCAATCCCGAATCTGTTCGCCGAGAACCATCAGAATTCAGTTTATGCCATCCTTGTTGGGGTGCCTGCCAATACAGGGATCGTTCTAGTGGTCACATCCTCCTTAACTGTTGCGACTGAAAATGAAGGAGCTCTTGCTGCATTAAAAAACTTTTTTGAATGTCATTTTCGAACTCTATAAACTCCACGTCAAAGATCAATCTATTTCTTTGATGCCAGAGACTCCATAAAATAAGCCAAACAAAGCACCCTAATCAACATGATTAAGCGAGAATTGGCAGTGGTTCAAAAGATTACGCTCGACCCAAGCCAATAAATCTAACTGGTAAAAAACTCAACTTGATGTTCATATTTGATCAGTCTATTCCAAACAGACTTAGCTGGCAAACAATTCCAGAGAACATGGATTGTTGATTCGACTGCCGCTCCACATCCTAAACACCCT